TATATTTCTCTATTTTTATTTTAATTCTAATTATAATTTTACTATTTTAAACTTTACTATTTATAGTAAAGTTACATGTATCACACTCTGTACCACATTAGCCACACTAGCCATACTTGTTTCACAAATCACAAGTGTAGTACTACTTGAGTAATATTATACAAAACAAATTTTAGCACATCTCGAAGCTTACTTTAATCTCTTTAATTTTAAGATACTCTAACCATGCTAACTCTTATTACTGAAGAATCTGACTCTTATAATATTGATTATTACTATAGCAAATATAGGGATCACTATGGTATTGGTATGTCAGAAGTTAAAATAGAAACTTTAAGAGTTTTATCTGCAAATATCAATTCTGTAGTATGTGATGCTAGTTCAACTAAAAAGCATCACTACTTTAAGATTCCTACTCAACCACAACTGGCTACTTGTTTATGTGATAAATATCATACCAATTTCATCTCCCAATTCTACAAAATCTCTCCTCAAACTGTTCTCAGAACTGCTCCTATAGAAACATTACCAACTATCTCCACTAAACGTTTTAACAGAATTACCAATAAATTACAAACCTTGCCTCTCATAAAACAACAGCAACAACAACCTATAGCTAATTCAAAAATTCTTTTCCCAAACTTTAATACTAATCCAACTCTCTCTCAAATTACACCTCATTCTCAAAACTATCATACATGTCTCTGCTGCAAACAAAAAACCATTCCATATATTTTCTTGTAAATACCAAACATGTACCTAATTATACTCAATGTATAATCTTTAAAAATTTCTTACTATATCATGACTGTATTTCTAAACTTTGGGATATTAAACTTACTCCTAAACCTCAAACTACTCCACTAACTCTTTAACAAAAGTCAGCACTTGTAGCTATGAAAATAGCTAAAATGACTTCAAAAGAGAAAATCTTACTACTTAAAATCATCTTCCCTAAACTTTCTATTTCAAACTCCAATATATCTAAAGATAATATATCTGAAACCACAATTGAAGATAAAAATAATAATGAAAATACTGACAAAACAGAAAAAGAAGAAACTACACCAAATAAATCTACTAAACAAGCTCTAACTTTTGACTAGATTACAAATTATCCTATTTCTAAAAGTATGAAAGCTAATACCAAACTCCAAACAACTCTTTCTCACAACTTATTTAATTTCCTTAAAAGCTATTTACATGACTTTTTTCCTAAAAAAGAAACTAAACCTGCTACTCAAAACCAAAAAGCTTCTAAAGCAACTTTCAAACAACTCATTAGAATTATAGCTGGAGCTCATCCAAAATTTTTAACTGACTTTGTATTTCAAAGTAATCCAAATATTGATCCTAATACTACCATTCCATTTAATATATTTGAAAATATACTTAAAAAACTTATTCACAAATTTACAACTATATTATTCACCAAACTTAACTTTATGGTTCTATTTTTGCTTCTCCTTTAATAATTTCCCCTTACAAAACAAAAAACCGAATGCAATTTTGCATTAATTTAGCCCGTATTCATCTCTATTTGTCTGACAACTACCATGCAATCAATTATAAAAAATTTGCTGATGATTTTAATTTTATTCTTAAACATTTTACTATTAACTCCTCTACAGTAACCACTGATAAGGAAGAAAAATATCTAACTATCAAATCTGACAAAAAGTTCAATATTCAACTTCTCTTCAACATACCAAAATCTACTTTCTTAAAAGTTTATAACATCCTATCTCTTAAAAATTCACTTAAACATTTTAATAAATAGTTTAAAAACTTCTTTCCAATATATAACTACCAATTTGCTGAACCTTTAAATCAACAAAAAGTCTACAATGCTCTAAAAGACAGAATTAGGCAGCAATTTATAATTCAACTCAAAAAATTTCTCCTAACAGAAACTGACATTTAGGAACCTAATAACTATTCTGAAAGATGAATTGAATATATTCGCCTTGCAAATTTTCATATACTCAACTGTGACTCCAAAGAATGTCCTCACATCAAAGAAAATAAGCATGACTTTTCTAACTTGTTTAAATTAATTCTTAAACAATCCTATACTACATACCCAAAAAAGGACAGTAAAGTTTGGAAATTACCTACAATTAACTTCTCGGTCTTTGAAATCAATAGGAAGCATGAAGCTAATTTCTCAAAACCAATTCCTCTAAAACTAATTGATGAATTAGCTGATCAAGCTGAAGATTTTATTTGCAAGGAAAACAAAACTACAAAATTCCAAAAACTTCGAAGCTACTACTTCTACTAATACTTAAATATCTATTATTATACTGCTGCAGAAAATTACAATATTCATAATCTTACAAGAGAAAAAGCAATTGAGTACATCATTGCAAAAATGATTGATACTCATTTCTTAGCTTGAATAATTACTTATTTTGATATGATTAAGGAGGAACAATCTACTCTACAACAAATTATTAAATATTTCAAAGAGACAGCTCTTCCTGAAGCTAAGCAATATCTCTTTAACAAATTCAATGTTTCATTTACTGAAACTTCTTTGTTAGAAGATTCACTCTTCTTTTAGAAGATTCTTTTCAACAATAGAATCTCCTAAACACATAAATGCAGCTGCTACCTTACTGAAAGATATATCTATTGTAGTCAGTAAGGAGAATAATGTAAGTAGGCAGGCAGTAAAGCCTATTTATGTGAAGAACCAAGCTTATGACGGTCAGACTTAATGTACAGAGCAGACTCTAGTATCTTCTACATCAGTAAGAGTTGGGAATACAGCAAGCGCCTTAGAAAATTCGAACCTCAATATGCATTTACTAATATCATCCAAATCATCTAATACATATAAATTATTAAATACAAATACTTCTGCTTATTTCACACCACTACTTCTATAACAACTGGCCAATTTGGCATATCCTACTTAATCTTATCAAATCCTACAAGCTCAAAATTTTACTTCACAAAGTAATAGCTCATAGTGACAATGAACTGAACGATATGGCTAATTCATTTGCACAAAATCATCAAACACTACCACTTCTTGAATTCAAACATACTAACTTATATAACCCAAACTTCTACCTTATATGGGAAAATTTCACTATAGAACAATCTGCACACAAACTTATTAAAACAATCTGTAATGCCCATATTGTTGCAATGTGGTTATTACAAAACCATAATCAACCATAGGTTTATCTATATAACCAAATCAATTGGAACTCAATATAGTTAAATATCAACAATAACAACAAACACTCAAGCAAGTTTACTAATTTCAAACTTAGTAAACTTAAAACTTTTTGAATTAAATTACTACATAATGAACTACTAACACTATCACACCTACACAAATACTATTCAAAAACAATACCAAACAACAAATACTTTAAATGCAACCAAACAGACTCAAAACTTTACTAGATTATAAACTACAACACTAATATATTACTGGAAATAATTTCACAAGCTGTAACTGAAACTCTTAATAGTACAAACTTAGAAATTACTTAATCACAATTTTTTGTATTAAAAAACTTAATCATAAATCATCCTTCACTTCAGCTATCCACAAACTCTTCTAATATAATCAGTCTATTCACTTCACTCAAAGAACTTCTACCATATATACTTATTCATACAATTTAATTATATACTAACTCAATTCACCTTGCTTCACAAACAACTATTAAGCTATTTTTTAAACTTAATTCAAAAATTTATAAACAGCTGTGGTTACTCTACTGTTCTGAATTTGCAAACTAGAAGCAACAACACAATATTCACATACCATACTCAAACCATTAACAAAATCACAGAAATAATCGACAACTTCCCTATATATCTCAGGAAACATATAATTTATATAGTTCTTCTCCACAACATAACCAAATTTCACTAACTAAACTCACTATACAAATCTTTCTGCTTGGCCAATATATTGGATTAAATATGGCTTCTCTACAAACTATCTCCTTTCTAATCAAATCTAGGTGAGTTTTGACCATTCTAGTAGGTTTAGGTCACAGATAATTTTAATTTAGCTTTAATTTTAGTATTTACTTTAGTCTTAGCTATTTTATTATTATCTGAGTTTCAATTCTTGAATATAATTTATTACCAGGTAGTTTCATGTAAACTCTTAACTATATTTTACAACAATAAAGATAGAGGCAAGACCTCACCTCAACCTACAGGTTGAAATTAAAAAAAAATATCTCTAATAAGATAATATAATGTCTAATAAACTATATAACTATACTAAATAATAAATAAAAATAATATTCAAAATAATGTTCAAAATAATATTTATATT